ACTTTTCTTACGGTGCCTACTGTTCGCTTGACTCAATTATCTATATCTTCGATCTATTTATTTATATATATCTCCGATCCCGCTGGTTTTTCTCGCCTGGTTTATATACTAAAAAAGAGGGCATCTAGCAAACACTAGGACATTCGCGGGGTTACTCGATAATTCATGATCCTACGAGAAACTCCAGCGCGCATGCTCCCAGCGTCGCGTGACTTCCGCTGTCATAACATTATACTTTGTACTTACTGTGCACTACAAACTAATAAAATTCATTAAGAGGCTCCAGGATCCAATTATGTGAAATGGTGTCCATACATCCACTTAGACTATGCACCCTATGATTAGAGCTAAGATCTCAGAACCGTTAATGTTATCAGGTGTTAAGCACCAAGAGTATAAGAGTAAGCCTAAGTTCTCACCACAGTATAAACGTTATTAGGTGTGAAGCACTAAAGATTTACGGTTAAAACTAAGCTCTCATCACAGTATCAATGTTACATGGTGTGAAGCATCAAGGATATACAATGAGGGACAAGCACTTAGTATAGTGTCAACACCATTAATATGAATCACTAAGGATATAGGTCAAGGTTTAGTTTTCAGCTGTAGTATCAACGTTATTAGGTGTGAAGCACTAAGGAATTACGGTCAAGGTCAAGCTATCAGTATGGTGTCAACTGTCCCAAAAGAGCAAAGGCCTCAGAGTGTTTAGCTTGCAGGCGCCAGAATAGTCATACAAATTATTTGCCCCACCCCTTGAGTAACCACTTGGAGTAATGCCAGACACACAAAAGTAAACTAGATTCTCAGTCTGTTAAGCCTCTACATTGTATTCCTAAAGAAACGCCTATTTTAGGAACGTTTGTTTTCATTTTGTACAAAAAAATGTGAGTTGTCTAGTTAAACTTGGAAAAAATATCGCAAACTGAAATATGTAGTTTCAAGAAATTCATTATTTCTTTTTTTTTCTAGGTGAATTGAATTGTATCTGTGAAAATAAGTGACTAAGATGTTAAGATCTATGAAAACAAACTACCATCAGAAGAACAGGTCAATGGCTTCGATTCTAATAGAACATTTATTAGATGAAGTTGTCAATATCTATAGATAAAAAAAGGAAGATCATACCTCAAGCTCTCTATAGTCTCTAATTTGGAGTAGCCAAAAGTTTAATATTGGAGAACATTCTTCATTTGGTACGAACTGTATCTTGAATGCAATGACGAATGTCAT